AAACAGGTGATGACCCTTTGGGTCGTCACTGATTTATTCTTTCTTGAGGTCACTCGTAAAACCTATCATGATAAATTATTTCCAAGTAAAAATAAGGTGCGTACTTTAGAGACTCACCATAGAGAAAAAAAAGGAGGTACCACATATTAGAAAGATGATTAGAGGAGTTCAATTCTCTGGTGCATTTTTTTTCGTAGGTGCTTTCATATGAAACAACTTTTGTAGTTAGAGAAGCAAATTTGCAACAGATAATTTAGCTAACTTTACAGTTGTCCGAGAAGATGGCCATATTAATTGACTTTTAGGATCTCCATATCTTTGGCTGAACCCAGTAATTTTAGTTCAAACTTTATATTTATCTGAAAAAATTCATTGAATATGTACAATTTATTAATGTAGGACCAAGTAACTTAATAGAATTAAAATTACGAACCCATAAGTTTGAAATCCTGGCTCCGTCTTTTCTCCTGGTTGCACTTTCAGGATTCTCCGTGTAAAATTGCAGTTTGGAACTGCAGACGAAGGCTGCCACTTAGGGAAGTAGAGAGCAGCTGAGAACAATCTCAAAAAGCCAAAAAAAATCAAGCCAAGATTGGATATACTTGACTAGGTAGTATAAGTCCCCACTAACATATTGCCCAAAATAGAACTGAACCCCTTGACAGGCTCAAGAGAAAAAACTAACTATTCACATAATATATAGCCGACCTCAACTTGGTTGGATTTAATTTGAGGCCTAGTTGTTGTTGCTTTGCGTTACTAGCAATATTGCTGGAGCTATACAGTGTTGGAGATTAAAATAATACCACTGACTCTTGACAGTTTTATAATTTTTACATTCATACCAAAATAAGTTAATGTGGTGTTATAGCTCTTATCGCAATGATAAAAAGGCCTATTTTGCTACAAAACCATTTACTGTGCATTATTGGGAACTCATTCCTATTCAAGCCCCTTTTTCCTATTCCACTAGTTCAATACTTGTATTGCGTCAGACAACATAAATGACTAACAACATATGTATAAAACTATATCTGCAATGAGCAACCATCGATCACTCTATGAAATGGCTGCAGGAAATTTAACTAAGACAAACGACCACCTAACAATGGAAGTGTCCTCATTCAACAGTATTCAGTGCAGCTCATCCTTTGCCACAACAACTCGATCCCTACCACAAATATAATGGAATTTTTACATAAATAGCCGGCTATATTAATTGTTTACTTTTTCTAGCCATATACATAGATTATACATAATTATATACATGTAATACATAAATTATGTGTATATTATATATTCGCTGGTTATTTTTTGTTTAAGTTCCCTGAGTGATTTGAGAGAAGTGCCTCCAAAAAGAATGCATCTGATTCAACCCATCTTAATCCATTTAAAGTTGGGCTGATTTTTAGCCCAAATTGAACCATCAGTAACTTTGCCAAAATATCTTTAAGATAGTTCTTTTTTGTTTGATATATATATATATATATATATATATATATAACCATAACAAAAGGAAAAAAAATCTTATTTAATAATATACAATTCATAAGAAAATAACACATATTAATTAAAGTTTGGTAAGAGTTGGGTGGGTTGTGCTATGACCCAAATTTTAGTCTATCTTGACCCAACCCATCTCAGCCCAAGTAACTTTGGGCGCGTCATTGACCCGTCTATTTGCTGACTCAATCCATTTTGACCCGCCCGAAAACAATCCAACCTGCCTATTTGATACCTCTAAGTATAGATGTCTTGAATACATCAGTACCGAAAAGGACCGTTATAAAGTTATGTTTGTAATTACAATAGTTGTGCCTAAACCATCATCTGATGTAAATGATCAGGATCGGAGAAAGTGCTCAAGTTCTTGCATCATACAGCACACAATACATGTTATATAGAAATGAAACAAAATCTGGGGAAATCAGAGGCTAGCTACCACGACAGATGACAATGGTTTAAGGCTTTATTTGCCAGAAAAACATGGCTAGCTACAATCAAAAGCATAAATTGAATTCCAATTCTGTCGAAGATTATGTAATTATGTAAGTAAAACACCTAAATAACTTGCTTTGCAATGACAAAATATAATATCTGCAATGTATGGTGGTTAAGCCGTTCAGATAAATCATAAGGACCTCTTCTTACCTTTTCTTTTTTGATATTTATAGTACCTTTCATTATGTAGAACAGGAGCATTACGAACAATTTCATTATTAAAATGGTTTTCCCAGCATGCTAGGAGTTACAAGCTGGTTGGCATATTATATATATTAATCTAGAATCCTAGATCTTTGTGCATATCTTAATGTGAATGTAGAAAAAATAATACAAAGAAGAGTTGCACCACATTGAATTTTCCAATTTACATTGAACACGGTAAGAAAGGAGAAATAATTTTTTGAATGTCATAAAACAGCAAACAAGCAGATAAAGATTAATAAAATTTCTTTAAATGTTCGATAATAAACAAAACAACGAGTGTAAAGATTCTCGTAGGAGAAAAAGTATAGTTCAGTGATATTCAGTTTAGAGGAAGTTAGTCCCTAAAATTTATGGTTGCAATCATAACAATGTAGTTTAACCACGATAATTTCGAGATATCGCATATCATATATGTAAATATATACATGGGCAAATATTTTTTGGTAATAAACTGTGAATATTACCATAACAACCAAAAAAACTTTACAAATTAAGAGCTACAACTCCCTATCTATGTAATCTAATTACAGAGCCTATTAATCAAAACTTGACAGTTCCTAGCTCTCTCCTAAAGCCTGTACAATTGCTAATTCTCTCCCTAAAAGTTCTTTTTGAATCTATAAAACTATAAACTCACTATTTACATTTAATTTCTGAATATCTTCCAATTCCTAGCTTGCCATCTATAGTAAATCATGGCTCCATAAACAACAGCACTAACTTCTTTTCTGAATTGCCTCCATTGTATCCATTGCAGGGTGCTTCTAGTAGGCTTTTGTGGGAGAGAGATACCAGTCCATGTAGCAAGTTTTTTTCCCTTACTTTAGTGATCCATTCACATTCAGCAAAAAGGTGCAGCTGAGTTTCTGGAACTCCAAGCTCACATAAGAAGCAATTCATGTTCCTATGAGCGAGTATATTTAGTTTCACTAACCTTCCCTTTGTTAGCAATTTATCTTGATAAGCAAGCCATAAGATTATTCTTTGTCTAAGCAACATTACAACACTCCAAACCAAGTCAGCTTCTCTCATCCTTGTCATATCCCCAAGCATTGCATTACAGCTACATGTTACTGAATAGATACCATTTGGAGTTGGCTTATATGTGTCTCTATTATACCATTGTGCCATGATTTCTTTCAATGAATTCAACTTCTTCCAGTACCAGCTACACTCTTTAGGTGGTTTATGTACTACCCCAGATGTCTCTGCAGTTCTTTATATAAACCCCATGTATCCATTTAACCCACAACACATCCTTTATAGTGATTATTTGCCATAGCAGCTTTCCAATTGATGCAATATTCCATAGTTTACATCCTTTAATGTTCAAATCTCCAAACTTCTTAGGCTTACACATTTTGTCCCAAGCTATCAAAGATACTTTTCTTGCCCTTCAGAGCTCCCCCAGAGGAATTTCCTGTACTTTCTATCAATTTCTTTTATTACACTTTGTGGTAGAATGAACACAGCCCCCGAAAAGTTGTATATAGAGAAAAGAACAACATTAATTATCTGTAATCTGCTAGCATAAGACAGTTGTTTAGAAAAGCCACTTCTCATCTTTCTGTGATCTTCTCTACAAGCTTGTGACATTCCACTCTACTCCACTTCTTTGAAGATAAAGGTAAGCCTAAGTATCTAATAGTTAAAGAACGTATTGAAAAACCTGTGCTGCTTAGAATCCTCGGCTGGTTATCTTCATCAATGCCTGCCAAGAAAATATTTGACTTGTCCAAATTTGCTTCCAGTCGAGATGCTTCACTGAAATGAGTAATGGCCTCCATTATTCTATGGATGGAGGTAAGATTGCCTTTTGCGGAACAGTATCAAATCATCAGCAAAAATTAAATGTGTGAGCTTAGTGCTTTTGCATATTGGATGAAATTGGAAGTCTGGCAATTCACTCATCCTCCTAAGGACTCTAGTCAAATACTCCATGACAAGCACAAACAATAGAGGAGACATAGGATCACCTTGTCTAAGCCCTCTCTTACATGCACAAATATTCATAGCCCATTTCTTGATTTAAGAGCGGAAAATGTTTTTTATTTATTCGAAATATTGAACATTCATATTATTTACATTACCATAGTTATTACTTGATTGTTAGAATAACACCATGGTTATAAGGTACAACCATAGGACTAAACTAGAACAAAAACGGCAAATGCACATTCCTCTTGCAAATTTAAAAAGTCAAACTTTATCGACGGTTTGGTAAGATAATTGAAATTTTTCCATATTATAAAATATAATAACCGTAAAGTAAATAAATCGAAGTCAAGTATAGAAAGAGATTGGTATATTATTCAACTTCAAACTCATGTACATAATGAATTGAAATCTCTTCTATTTATAGAAGAAAGGAAACTACTCTGTAAGCTGCTATTCCAAGTTGCTGCGTAAGCTGCTTGTAAGCTCCTACTACAAGCTGTTGTGTAAACTTCTTGTAAGTTATTATTGTACCAGCTATAGATAATCTTCTATAGGAATAATGTTTATCCACAACGAAGTGCCGAAATATTAAGCTTCTTCAGAAGGCTTATTTCCAATAGATTACTATTAAACATATTTACGATGGAGTCTAATATGGATAAGTTTCATCAATGGTGATATTCATAATATAATATATTTATAATATTCCACTATTAGTTAGTGATTTGTTGGTTCTCTGAAAATGAAAAATCTTTTGACAAGTAGCAGATTATTACCTCTAATAGATAAAAATAAGCCCAAATTGGTAAAATAATTTGAACATAGACAAGGGATAAAGCCGAGTGTAACAAAACATGGACTAAAATTGCTTGACTGCACATTCCCGAGACAAGATATTACAGTATTTGCATTTTACAACTGAAATCGCCCGTTTTGTTGTGTGGCAATGGCTGCCGCAATTTGGGCCTCCTCTTCTTCATTCGCTCGCGCTCTCCACCCTCTCCTCAGTCGGCACACATCTCTCTCCCCGCTTAACTATAGTCTACATCGCTTTAAATCAGCTAGTTATTTATTTTTCTCGACAAGCAGTAATAAACCTCCAAAATTGGCTGTTTACGCTCAAGCTAGGCGAGCTTTATCTCCTAAAATCAAAGGAGACGAAGTGGCTTCTCGTAAGCATCTTTATAATTCTTGCCAAAAATATAATTATAGGCAGTTTTTTTTTTTTCGCAAATTAAAATTCTTCTTTTTGTTTGTTTGTTTGTTTGTTGTGTGGTAGCTGCTGATTTGAGTTTCGAGGGGCCTCTGAAAATTATAGAATATCCAGACCCGATCCTGAGAGCAAAGAACAAAAGAATTGGTACATTTGACGATAATTTGAAGAAATTAGTCAACGAAATGTTCGATATTATGTATAAGTGAGTCCATGTGTTTCTTAAAATCCTTCATTACTTATCCGTTTGATAAATTATTTTAATACAAAAGTTAGTTGTATTAAGATAATTGATTGATAGACTTTGTTGATGTGTAATTGATCTATATATTGAATCATTATTGATGTTTTATTTAGTATATGTAGAATCTTTTTTTGTTTATAAGAAAAGCTTGCTATTCAGAGGACTGTAAAGGATGCTTGGCTTTGATTTTACGCAGAACTGATGGCATTGGGCTGTCTGCACCACAAGTTGGAATGAACGTTCAACTAATGGTATTTAATGCAGCTGGTGAACGTGGAGAGGGGGAGGAGATTGTTCTCGTCAATCCACGTGTTAGTAGATATTCTAGGAGGATCATACCTTATGACGAAGGTTGCTTATCTTTTCCAGAGATATATGGAGATGTTGAGGTATTTGGACCTATTAACCATTCTTTGTTTGACCTCAATTCAGTCTACTGCCTTACTATATGTGTGCGCGCATGTGTGTGTGAGATCAAATATGAACCCCGTCATGGAGTGAGATCAAATATGATTGAGGTCATTCGTTCGAGTCTCTCAAGAAGCTGTCATACAGTTGATACTTTTCTTATAAAAAAATATGTGTGTGTGTGTGTATCTTAAATATTAAATTTGGAAAATGTTGAGAACTGCTAGTAGTTTTTATTTCTGTCTTGTAAACTATTGGTATAAGAATAGGCTTAATGGAGTGACATAGCGAGTGAGGATTTATATAGCCGAACCTAACTTGCTTGGGATTGATGCGTAGTAGTTGTTGTTGATACCATATTACCAGCTCGTGACATGACGAGGTTGGTCTTAAATATATCTGAAAATGATGATGAGGTTGCTACATTTCCAACCTTGTGCGAGTCTTTCCTAGCATTTGTCTTGTTGAATTTGGTATACTACACCATTGTGAAGAATTTGAATTGCCGTATCCTGCTCTGGGAAAAATTACTCCAATGAGCTGGTTCTAACTTCCATGGAAACCTGCATGTTCTATTGCTTTGGGGAAAAGCAAATGTGATTCATATCAGCAATTGAAGTTACATGTATCTAACTTCCTTGATCCTTTAAAGTCCTTCAGTCACTCAATTTCAAACTTCTCAACAAATGGTCGATTTTGTTGGTTGTGCTTTAGGCTTGTGTCTATCCCACCAAGTAGATTGCATCTCAAGAACTTAATATCAAAAGAGATCCTAATTCTCTAGTTGGCAAGTGTGCCCTATTCGACTAGGAATTCCCAATTTATACGACAGTATTTTTCTTCTGGCTCATTAAGAGGTTACATAACAGGGCTGCTTACTCTTCCATCTTTTGGATGATGGAATATGTGTGGCTTGTCCAAAAAGTGTCACTGTGTGTGAAGTAGAAATTCAAGCCTAGAACACTTTGCATCCTTAAACTGCTTACCTGGTAGATCTTTGTTGGCTAACTGCTTTAGGGTCTAGGAACCTGAATTTGCTATTCAGATTCTGAAGTTTTTTATGTTCTGAATTTTGACTCACTAGACTATTTATACACATTGTATGTTTGCAGAGACCAGACTCAGTGAAGGTAGACGCTCAGGACATTAATGGTGCAAGGTTTGAGTTAACCTTGACTGCGCTTCCCGCACGAGTCTTCCAGCATGAATTTGATCACCTACAGGTGCTTTTCAATTCCATAAATATAAGAGTTGTGTTTAACTGTACTTACCCATAAATTTACGTTGTTTGGAACTCTCAGGCTCTCCCGCTTACACATTTTCCCTTTTCATTTACTTTGATTCCAGATAAAATGTTTTTTAAGTCTTTCCAGTTGCAGTAACTGTACCTTGAGCAGTCTAATAAAAAAGAATAAGAACTGTAAGACTTGACTTTAGTAGTCTTCCCAGTTGTGATTCTTTTTATAAGACTGCTCAACAGTGCTGCTGGTGAGTTCAGAAATATGGAGTAGCATATACAGCCTTTAATGAATGTTCATTAGAAAACACATGGATTCACAATTTGCTTTTTGTGTTATACTTCGTTCCTGTTGGACATCTCTCTTTAACATACATCGGCAATGTGCAGGGAGTTCTTTTCTTTGAGAAAATGACTGACGAAGTCCTGGACACCATCCGTGAAGATTTAGTGGTTAGTAGATGATTGTTAAAGTTGGAAGACATACATCTGCAGATGTTACACCTAGGAACCAAGATTTTTGTTGTTTATCTTTATAACTGGATTTTCACAGGCTCTGGAAAAGAAATTTGAGGAGAAGACTGGGTTGCCGACCCCTGAAAGCATAAATACACGGAAAATAAAGAAGGCAGCTGTTGGATTTGGCAAATCATGAGTTTACTGAAATTGACGAAAAATTCTCAGGTTTTTAGTGCCTTACCTTAATTTCATTTGTTTATTATCTTTCTACATGTGCTCAATACTTGCTATTTGATGTATGCAGGTTATTTGTGTGATGAAGCACAAACTGGAATGCCAGCTTTTGCAGAACTGTGGTATGATACACTTGTGCTTTGATATCTTGAAACTATCCAAAAGTGTGTCCTGAGGTTTATCGTTCTATTAATACCATTGTGTTTAGGAATGATCGGATTACCACAGTAAAGAATTGAAAAAGGGCTGTAGTTACTTATTTTGAGAAGGATGAAAATCAAGAAGTGGCCTTGTCTTTTTATTTATTTTTCCTTGATGAGTGTTTGTTGTCTGAACACTTCGGCTTTTGTTGTTCAGTGTGAAGAAGATCCCCTCAACCTTTAGCATTACCTTTTAAAATCTCCATCTTATCCTACAATGTTTTAACCAATGGAATATCCTACTTAACAGGAAAAAATTAGGATGGATCCACTTGCATTCGTGTTAACTAATTGAATATCCTAATAATAAAAAAAAGGTAAAGAAAAGGATGAATCCACTGTTTTCATCTTTACTCTAAAAGTCTGAAATCTGATAAAATAGCTCATTTATATTTACTTGTCATTCACCAAATGTGGTGACATAAAATATTAGGGCCGAGAGGGATGATATGAGACTTTCAGCTGTTGATTTTGGTATTTCTGTGCTTTCAAGGATGAATTGGGGATCTAAAATAAGAGGAAACCAAAGGAATTGACTTTACCAAGTTTCGGGAGCTATAGTGCAGAAAACTATAGAAGAGCAGGATCAAATGTTGCGAAGGCGATGAAATGTGGGGAAAAGGGAAATCTCGTCCATGAAACCTGATGGAGCTTTATATCAATAAGCTACATACCTCAACTTTTAGATGTGGGGATTTAGAAGTTAGAATATGAAGATGTTATCCATGAAAGAAGAACGCACCGCAGAAGACGTGATGTATGTATATGTGCTTAAGGAGAACGGAGATGGAATACATATAAAAGCACTTATTCAAAAAAATAGATATAAACGAATCATCTTTTATAGAGCAAGAAGCCTAAAGTTTTTGTGCGGACAAAAGCTTGATATTTAAGTGGAGAAGGGTAGAGGGACAAGCCCATTATCGAGTTTTGAACTGTGCATCACTTGCCCTCGTGGATTCTCGGTTATCAAAAAAGTTTTGTGCATTACCCCCACCCCCACCCCCAACCACACACAAAAAAAAAAAAAAAAAAAAAAAAAAAGATAATGCTGAAGTTGGCTAGTTGCATATGCAAAATTGTGTTTTGAGACATTTACTTTGTTAATAACTTGTAAAAAAAGGCCGCATGTTATTTGTAGAATTTGTGTAGAGAAGATAAGAAGTCAGGAGTATAGTGCAAGTTCTGTCTTCTGAACTGCAAACAGATGCTGGGGATAAATAAGACTAGACCTAAAGAATTTGGTCAGTTGTATGATGTATAGTGACCTTTATACCCTATTCTCTGTCTAATATCTAACAACTCATTTTGCACCATTTAAGCTAATTGCTTCCCCCTATTTGCTCATTCGCAATTACTACCAGTCTACCACAAGGTCATGACTTTGTATTTTGCTTGTCTAGATACTGGCAGTCATAGTTTGCCTGAAGATTTGACATTAGCAATACACTGTTATACTTTTATACGTGGCATCACTTTCAGAATTTTCAACAAGAATCAGTAAAAAATTTATTGGAGCCGTAATGCGTATTCATAGTTCTCCAATTATTTTCCAACAGAATGGTTTGGGAGCTCTTTTTTCTGGTAAAGGTTTCAGCTCTACCGTTATCGAAGTTATACCTCTGAATGGCAAGCAATCACCTACAAGCAAAATGAACAGTTTTTATGTATATGTTTCTTTTAGGAATTGGTATGATATCCTTTCACAGCCTCTGCTGATGTCTAATGATGGCAGTTTCCGCATCAAAATAGAATTGATCAATCATGATGGGGTTTGAACTCCCGAAACTTGAATAATCAAGAACATGCTGAGCATGAGCCACAGTTTATAGAGAGAATGTGAGAATGTCTTATTGTCTTAGAGATTTAAAAAAGATGGAGATAATTTTGGTGTTCTGAATTGTGGAGTTATGGAAGTAAAATTTGAGACACTAGCTTTAGTCATCATCCCCCAAACCGCCAATGCTACTTCCATGCCCAGGTCCACGGTTCGTGTTGTGTATTTATGCAGATGAACATATACTCTTTTATAGCGAGATAGTCATCTCCTGCAAATTGATTTCAGCTGGTAGTTACATGTCTCAGCCTGGTTCTCTGCTCCATGCCTGCTTGGATGTGGAAATGAACTCAAATGTATATGAATTTGTCATAACTTAATTGTTTAGTTACCGATGTATTGTATACATCATGATAACCGGGTCTAGTCTAGACCTGCAATTTGTGAAATGATGGAAGCAATCCGGTGGATCATGCATTGAGATCTAAGTTTGCAGGTTTGAGGTACTATTTAGGGGTCGTTTGGTACGAGGTATAAGAAGGTATAGTGCTGGTATAAAATTTTAATACCACCTTAATACTTTGTTTGGTTAGCAAACCGGGTATAAGTTATACCGGGATTAAAATTAACACCGGGATAACTTATACCTTATAGAGGGTGGGGTAATTAGCACCGGGATAACTTATACCTTTTCTTAGAAATTATGCAATTATCATTTTTAATACGACATACCAAACAGTGGATAAAAAACAATCCCAGTATAACTAATCCAAGCATAACTTATCCCGGCATAAGCCGTATTCAAACCAAACGACCCCTAAACTTTGTTGGGTGATGCTGCAACTGAGATAACTCCCAACCTGAGTGCTCGGGCATCACTGCATGGGTTTCACTCAATAAAATTGAACCTCCATTTCAGTGTCAGATTTTGACGAAGTTTGAACAGATTACACTTATAGTTATCCTGGCAATTTAATTCAGCCTGTCTACATCGCTGCCAAGAGGCATGCTTAGTCGCATATCGTTACCTACTGATGTTCTTATGCAGGAGGAAAGAATTTGAGGGGAAATCTGGAAAAATTAATCAGAGAATACCTAGTCCAATGAAATACTGTCCATCTTCTTGCTTGAGTTTCCTGACCACGTAATGTCATCCCTTTTAAGCTTTGGGTAATCGAGTTATATATTGTAGCAAGTCTTATGATCCTGTAAACTGTAGTATTAGAACCACGACCCCAGGGAAACCAGAAGTATTGGTTGTCTTCTTTACAAGCTGCTTCCATAGCTTGCTTGTCACAATCTTAAACATCTCAGGGATATTGCAATTTTGGATTTCATATGAGTTAATCAATTCCCTTGCCAGAAAAGGATGAGAGGGGTAGATAGAATTATGGCTCCTCTTGATCGTAATTAGGGTGGCAAACAGGTGGGTCGGGTCGAAAGCGGGTAATGAAAACGGATAAGTTATCCGACCTGACCCATATTTAATACGGATAAAAACGAGTTAACCGATGGATAATATGGTTACATAACCATATTATCCATGACTTCTTGAATATGAACACTTTTGAAAGAATTTCTAGTCTCCCAAACTTGAGGAACCCCCAATTTGAGGCTTTACGAATGTAAAAGTTAAACTCATTAGTTATCCATTTTCTAAATGGATAATATGGTTCTTATCCATATTTGACCCGTTTTTAAAAAGTTTATTATCCAACTCATTTTTTAGTAGACAATATGGGCGGTTAACTGTTTTCTTTTAACCATTTTGCCGCAACTAATTGTGATAGACTCTTGATAAACCATATTTAAACTCTATTGCACAGTAGTTGGGTCGGTTATTAGGAACTTTCACTATCCATTTCTTTCCATTTTGTTGCGGAATATCGTGGTTTAACTAGCACACAATCACACACAAAGCAAATAGAGAAGAAAAATCAACATAAGGATTTAACGAGGTTCGGCTAAGCCTAATCCTCGGGGCAAAAGCAGAGAGAGTTTTTCACTATGAATGAGAAGGAAAGCACAGTACAATCTCTAAGATCCCAAACTACAACCCCTATATATAGATCCCAAAAGGTCCCAAACATGTAAGAGAAAGGTTTCCCAATTTGACAAGGACTATAGGTTTTCCTTTCTCAAATCTATTAGGACAATGGATTTTCCTAAACCTATAGGGACTATGAGTTTCCTAAAAATACAAGGAATTAATTCAAGCCAGAAATAACACATTTTGACTATTAAGTTTTCGAATACTAGAAGTACATGTTCTACTTTCTCTTCTTTTAAAATGACGAAGGCTAGATGAGAAGGTCCAATAGATTTTGTATTCTTTCAATTCCTCTTTTCTCTCAACCAGAGGAACAGTTCGATTTTAAATTTGTACATTTCGACTGAAAATAACAATTGAATGATTGGTTTCTTGGTAAAATAAAATTATGTTTGAATTATTGAATAGTCAAGGACATAAATAATTCAGAAAAATCACTATTGGACAGACTGCTTATTGATTCAGAAACAAACATAATTGGACTACCAGTTTGTGCTCTTGATGGCTGTACTAATTACTAAACCCGTTTTAACTTCAGTCAAATAAACTGTTCTAGCAGTACATTTTCCTTTTGGAATAAATACATGAAGTCATACGAAATGAATAAAAAAAGCCCAAAACGAGTGAGAATGCTATAGTTTATCTTTTAAAATAAACTTTAGCTAGTTCATATTCACGTTTGATGCCCCAATGATACGTCTTGTGTGCCTTACATTCACTTTTATGGTCAAAATTAAAGTAGACAAGATCAAAAGATTCGAATATGTGCTCGGTGTATATTTTAAAAAAGATAGTTCCTGAGATGTCTGTCCAAAAAACTTGATTTGCAAACACCGGAGGAACTGTCGTGAGTCTTATGCTGTCAAAAAAGTCCTTGCTTGCACCCTCCTTTGCCATCAGGTCAGCTACTTTGTTCGTCTCTCTGTAGTTGTGCGTTACCACCACGTCTCCTAGTCTTAGGATGATTGACCTGCATTCAAAAATACTTGAGCCAAATACAAAGTTACCCGAGTTAAGCATTCTTATTACCTCAGTCGAGTCTGTGTTGATTTCAAGTGGTGTGACCCCTCTTTAGTCAGCAATCTGCAATCCTACTAGAATAGCAATGAGTTCCGCTTGTGTATTTATGGTGTGTTGCAGGCTTCCCATGAAACCCAGGATCTAGTTTCAACTGGAGTCCCTAAAAGCTCCTCCCACATCTCTTGCCGGGATTCTCAATAGCAGCCCCATCAGTGTTGAGCTTATAATGGCCTCTTAATGGGGGGTCCATTTGACCCAGATAATTTTCTCTTTTGTGGGTGGTTTGTTTATTGAGATAGTGATATACTCAGTAGCCTTTGCCACAACAATGTTAGTAGGGACCATATCTTTTTTCTTGTTGAAGAGGTAATTATTCCTAGTAATCCAAATCTGCCAGAAGATAAAGGGGAATAAATCCTCCAAACTAAGAGTGTTATTGAATGGCTTTCTTTTGAGAGAAGCCCATGTGGTCGCCCAGTCCCTACTAGTGAATGTGGAGTTTTGGGTTTGGGCTGCAGTGGTGCTCTTTGAGGTTAATTGTTGCCAGAAAGATTTCGCATTAGGGCACTCAAAGAAGATGTGGGCAGAGGTCCAGAGCATCATTGCAAAAATAGCACATTGGATTGTAGCAGACCCCAATATTTTGGAGATAAGCCCCTGTTGGAAGGCTTTCATGGTAAAAGAGCCATATGAAAGTTTTGATCTTATTGGGGGGCTTCAGTTTCCAGATCCACAAGTAGCTATTGCTATTATCTGTTCCCTTCTGGGAGGCTATGTTGGCAAGGAGGGTATAAGCTGATTTGGTGCTGAAGAGGCCATTACTAGTGTTTTCCCAGATCATCCTATCCTCCTATCCTCCTTTATGGGATTGGGTGGAATGAAGGTGGTTAAAAGCATGTTTATGATGTTTGTAGGGATGTTCAGGAAGATGGAGGAGGTATCCTAGATCCCATTATTATAGATGGCAGCAATTGTGATTGACAGGTCTGCTTAGGTTAGGGGACCCTCAATCATGGACCTAAAGGCTGGGTGGTTGGGGATCCAGGGGTCATTTACGAAGCTGACTCCATTCCC